TCACTTGGGGCTTGAGACCATGTTTCAGGCCATAAATATAAAGTGGCTGCTCTACAAATGCTTATTTACAGTGTTGATAATCATGATGGTACTTTTCAGATGTTTCTTGAGGGACTCAAAGAATCTGTGCTGCTTCTCAAAGTGCAGGCTTTAAACTCAGGAAGAAATTTTCATGAGAAAGTGCACTAATGCTATTTGTGCATTTGTTTATTTGAATGAATTAATGAGTTTATACACATAACTATACTAACCTTTACTATAAGATGTACAAGCAGAACATATATTTCTTTGCCTTTTACTGACATTTTTAAATCCTATGTGTTTTGTTGAAGAAACAAACAAATAATAGAAGCAACAAGAGAGTGACCCAGTAAACTTGGAACACGTAACTATAAAATACTGACCATGTAGGTATAGAAGTTTGCTAAATATGATCTTTTAAGTTATTACATTACCCCAAATGATTAATTTTAAAATTATGTATTTCATATAATTAATTTGCTGTTTGAAAGTCACTATTGTAAACTACACTAAAAAAATTTCATCACACATACCTGGAGTTAAACATTTGTGAGGTATTTGTAATCTATTTCAAATAAAATATGCCAACATAAAAATCAAATTTTATATAAAGGAAACTAAACATTTACTCATTTAATTATGATTGTAGTATAATCTTGCCTAGAGAGTAGAAATATAAAAAATTACATCAGTCTATAAAGTCTTCTCAATTGAAATGAAGAGTAGGACATTTTTGTGTATTTAATATATTGAAATATAAAAATGAGAATAGACGCTTATAGTAAGAAAATCTGAAGTCCTACAAAGTGATATGTTTTAAAAAGCCACATGAGATTTTATTTAGATAAAGAAAATTAAAGTTATATCATATTACATGATAATTTGGCAGTAACTTATGCTCACACAGCATTACTATTTTCATTAAACAAATAGTCATGCTGTACCTAAATAAATACATTCAACATGATTTATTCTATTAAACACAAATTTCTTATTATAAAGTACTCATTAATCACTTCCTCCATATATAATGAAAATGCCATCATCATCAATTTTCATTCACATTACCCCAATGTGAATAACTTTGAATAACATTTTTCTAGAAAATATTAAAGTACAACTGTGTCCCTGAACTACATTCACTTCATAACCTACCTGTGCCAAAGGTTATTGATAATAGAGGTTAGAATGCTTTACTGCTCTATTAACTTGAGCAACCTTTGCTGAGTTACTCAATGTTTGCATTTTAATTTTCCTCTCTGTATACAGAGATGACATAGAGAAGAGACCTTAACGTTGGTTTGTAACCTGGTGAGTCCCATGGGTGAAATTCCAAACAGGTGTCTGTAAACAGAGGGCAATGAGGAACCGAAGAAAGAGGCAGACTTACGGAAGACAGGTTTACCAAGTAAGGGAACTTACTTAAAAGGCTCGCCTTGAGCAGCCATGAGACTAGTACAACTCTGCACTCATCTGGCAGAATCTTAACAGTTTATTTAGAGGTTTAACAGGTTTCAGTCACATACACAGTCCAGATGGTCTCAATGACATTTTTCTCTCAAGGCTGCTCCCTTCAAGTGGTTCCTAGTGTGGGACAATGGGTAAAATATCTGATTGCCTGCGTCTGGGTCCAGCTGGTGGGTCAACCAGGAGTCACATACTTCCCACATTTAAATATCATCCAGTCCTACTCATCCTTTTGTTCTGCAGATGAAGAGACCAGGCCGGGGATGACCAGTCTGAGGAATATTTCAAAATCACTTAAATTCCTAAGAAAATGCAATGTAAGCTTAGATGTATAAGAATTATATAAATAAATGACACTGGATTCGATTAGTTTCATTCTCTTTAAGAGAGAAATGTAGCATTCCTCACTATTTTGAACTCAAATATGCTGGACTGTATATCAATATATGTTTTAGTAGTGTTCTTTCATAGTGTATTATGTGACTTATTAAAGGCAAATCATTTCTTAAAGATTTGCAACCCATCAGACATCTTGACATTTAAAACACTCACTGTCAATATTTTAGTCCCTTCGTCCCATAGCTTTAGTCAAAAAAAAAAAATCAGTCTAAAAATAAGTGGAAATGAGTTAATTTAAGCAAATTCTTGCAAAAGATTCATAATATATTTTTCTATTATGGTCTATGGATAGAAATTAAGCTCTTTATTCATCTGCCTTAGCATTCTATTAATCCATAAAACAAGGATTCTTCAAAATTTATTGAGCCCCAATAATATATATTGTGCTAGATACTGCAAGGGATGATGAAGATAAATAAGGCATGAGCCCTCAGGGAATATACCACCTCGAGTAGGAGAAATAAATAAGTATTGTATTCAAACTCTAAAGTGACAATTTTAAGTAGTATATGACAACTTAAAAATAAAGAGCTTATGGGAATTTAGAGGAGGGATAGATCATAACAAGTGAAAGAAGTCTAAACTTACAAAGTGGGACCTGAGTAGAATTTCCAGAGCAAGGTCTTCTAAGGAAAGGTGAAAGAGGGGAAATGAAAAAGTGGGGTGATCCTGTGTCTCGCCGGAGGGTTTCAGCCCTAGGCAAGTTTCCTTTGGATTTGGTGAGACCGAAAGATGGCAAAGGAAAGTTCTTGGGGGGAAAAGGGTTTACACCCAGCTTTATTCTCATGGTGACAGGTCAGGTGCTAGAATCCCATCCACCTCAGAGCAACCTGCATGCAGCAAGCCCATCCCTGGCCTCTCCATTCTTCTCAGCCCCAGAGCATTGGGTGGAGCTCTCCTTATATTGAGTCAATAATATCCCATTGCCAACAGGTATGTAAGCATCAGCCTACGAGCATTGCACATGCACCGTGGGCTAGTAGACAAGTGTCAGATGAGAATTCTGGCTATGGAACTTCCATTTTTCTCTACATCATGTTTTGGCAACTTCAGGAGATGGAGATTCTCTGTCAAGCAAGGGAGTAATGGGGAAAAAAGGCACAGCTCAGTGCATCCTCCTAAACTATTTTTCCCAGCTGCTGCTTTTCTTTACCATATATATTAATATTTATAATAAATTTATTCTCTTCTAAATAGAAAAAGAGCCATTCCTGACTAGGAGTCAGAATCTTGAGACTCCACTGCTGCTTGGTTAAATATTTTGATTCAATGAACATATATACTGGAAAATCAGTTAATTCTGTTGCAAGGTTTTGTCTTTGAGCCTGATGTAGTTAGTTAGTTGTCTTGTCAATGGGTTTCAGCCCTGGGCAAGCTCACCAGGGATACAGTGTGACCAAATAAATGACAGTAGAACGTTCTTGAGGTGAAAGGGTTATACCCAACTTTATTTCCATGGTGGTAGGTAGGTCAGTCACTAGAATCCTGTTCACTCAGAGCGAGTCTGCATGCAGCAAACCGGTCTCTGCCTCTGGGCCTCTCTGCCCACACAGCCGTCCTCTGGGCCTCTGTCGTCAGCATTGCCACCACTCCAGCCTCTGCTTTGTTCTCCTGCAGCTTTGTAGCCATGCCACCGTGTCCCCCAGAGCACTGGGTGGTGCTCTTTATATAGTCAATAACGATGTATTGCCCACACCATGTAGTGAGCCAGCCAACCAGGGCCAGGTGAGAATCCTGGCCACAGGACCTTTCATTTTAGCCACAGTAGTAAATGCATGAGCTTTGGGGTGAGACAAACCTTGGTTGAAATCAAGACTTAGTCACAGTTATATTATTTTGGCTGATAATGACAAAAGTAACTATCACTTCCTATGCATTTTTACTTGTAATCCTCTAAATCAGCTCTTCTCAAACTTTAATGCTCATATATCTCACCTAGGGTTACTGTTAAACTGGGGGTAAGGATGCAGCAGGTCTGGGGTGAGGCCTGAGGTTCTATATATCTAACGAGCTCACAGGTAGTGCTGTGGCTTCCAGATCTTCACATCAGCATCACCTGGGAACTTGATAGACGTGAAATGCAAATTTTTGGTCCCCACACCAGACCTACTGGATCAGCAACCTGAGTTTTAACAAGCCCTTCGTGACGTCACTGGTTTATGAACACGATAGCACATTCCAATCACCCCGGATTAAACACTATGGATGCCCCACTCTCATCCCCGTTCCCCTGAGATTGCCCAATTGGTGGTTGTCTTGCCAGTGGGTTTCAGCCCCAGATAAGTTCACTATGGATTCAGTGAGACTGAAAAAATGGCAGTGAAACATTCTAGGGGTGAAAGGGTTTATACCCAGCTGTACTCCCACCGTGGTTAGGTCAGCCACTAGAATCCTCTCTACTCAGACTAAGTTTGCACTCAGCAAGCGGGTATCTGCCTCTGGGCCTCTTTGTCTCGGCAGCTGCCTCAGTCTGTGTCCTGGGCACTGCCAGCGCTCCAGCCTCTGCTCTCCCACAGCTGTGAAGCAGTGCAGCCCTGTGGCCCAGCGCACTGGGCGGAGCTCCTTGTATAGTCAATAACAACGGAATCCCCAGACGTGTGCAGTGAACAAGCCGATGAGGGCCAGGTGAGAATCCTGGCCACAGGAACCTTCACTTTCTCCACCGTGGTGTGGTCTGGGCATGGGGCTGTCTAAAAGCTCTACTGACTCTGATTTGCAATAACATTTGAGAACCCCGTGAGGTAGGTACTTGAACTGTGACACGCTTTATTGTCCGCCTTTGTAAATGTGTATAATTTCCTGCCTTTGCTTCCAAATTTTGGCATCTCTAGCCATACTCCGCCGTAATCCCAGTTCGGTCGGGAGCCCGCTGCCCCGTCGCCTGTCCCACAGCCGCGGTCAGAGGACCCCGGTCCCGGGGCGGAGCCGTGCGGGCACCAGCCACGCCGTCCGCACGCCGGCGCCGCCAGCACCTACGTGGCTCGGGGCTCGGCCCGCGCAGCTCCCCGGACAGCGCCCGAGCAGCACGCGCATGCGCCCGGCGCGCGCCAGCCCGGGTCTCGAGTAACGGACTCGCGCGCCCCGCACCGGAAGTGGGCGGCCCCGCGGCGGGAGTTGCCGGCTGTACCGAGGTGGCCGTGGCGGTGGGCGCCGGCCCCCAGGGACTCGCGCCTCCCTCTCCGCGCCATGGCGAAAGATGCCACCGTGGTACGGCTGCTCCTGGGCTCCGCGGCGCTGTGGGTCGCGCTGACCGGCACGCGGACGGCCTCCGCGTCCAAGGCTGTGACGGCCCGCTTGGCTGCGAAGTGGCCCGCGACCCCGCTGCTGCTGGAAGCCAGGTGGGTGCGGGCCGGACCCTCTGCGCAGCCGGGCGCGGAGGGAGGGTCCGGTGGGGCCGAGGGCGCTCTGGGACCCGGAGGTTCCTCGGACCTGTCCCTTCCCCGCGGGCGCCAGCGCCCCGCACCGCTCCCCCACGCGCCCTGGCGCTTGGCCGTCGGCGCATCACTCCGCAGCCACCCCGTGCACAGCACTCGCACTTCTTTTCCCTGCGGTTCATATTTTGCTTCACCCATGGTTTTTAAAACTTAGGGGCCTTTGATTGTTTCCGATTTTATTAGCATGTACGAAAGAGAAAAAATGGGAGATGGAGCGTGGCGTGTAATGCAAGCACTTTATTTGGCGTAGGCTGTTCTTTTTAGGAAAGGTACTTGAAGCACCTGGTTTCATAATGATAACATCGCTAGGTCAGCTTCCAGGTTTCCTGCCCAGTAGACAACTTCCCCCAAGTTATTATTTCTTTGAGAATCTCCTCCACTCGTTGCTCACCAGGTATCATGTGCCGTGAATACACAAAACTTCGCTAACCTTAAAAATAAAACTTTACCAGCAAAAATGGGCTAATTTGGGAACAGCAGGGAATTGTAATTTGGGACGTGCACGTTTCGGGGAAATGATAGGCAAGTCCAACAAACAAAGGAGAGGAACATTATTTTAAGGAAAAGGAAGTTTGGAGAGGTTGTTTTGAAGGAAAGTCTGTCAGAGAAAAAGGGTTTAGGATGATGAGAGTTTGTCATTGGCTTTGAGGGGCAATTTCTTGCGGGAGATGCAATGTTCATCTTTGCGGGGGGTGAACAGCGGGTTTTGTAACTGACGGTTCGTGACTGTTGAGGATGATTCAGTTCAGAGTCTGTAGTTGACAGGTCTTCCTGTAAATGATAAGGAGTAGTATGGCTCTCCCTTCTAGCCTCCTGACTCCCCATTTAGTGAGGTTTCCCTTTATTAATTTTCACAACTTGTAACTATTGAATTTTGCTCCTAGTATCCCAAGTAGTTAAAATGTACAAGTTCTTTCATTTAACCGTATGAAGTTTTAATGTCAATTGCTTTTGTCACTTCAGCAAAGCAACAGTTTATGGTCCTAAGAGAGACACCATCACCACACATATCACTGCATATATAAGATGCTGAAACACTTTTTTAAAGATGTAATTAACATGATATATTAGTTTCAGGTGACATTATTGTTTGATATTTGTATATTTGTGAAGTAATCACAATGTCTAGTTAACGTCTACCCTCATGTATAGTTAGAAAATTTTTTTCCTGTGCTGAGAGCTTTGAAGATCGACTCTCTTCGCAATTTTCAAATAGGCAGTACAGTATCATTAATATGGTCACCATGGTGTATATTAAAACCTTAGAGCTTGTTCATTTTACAACCGAAAGTTTGTACTTTTTGACCACCTTCACCCAGTTCACCCATCTACCTGACTGCCTCTGGCAACCAACAAAATGTTCTATGTATATGAGCTCAGTTCGTTTTAAGATTCTATATAGACTGAGATCATCTGATTTTTGTCTGACTCATTTCATTTAGCATAATGCCCTCAAGGTACATCCATGTTGTTACAAATGGCAGAATTTTCTTTTTTGTGTCAGAATAATATATTTTTCTTAATCTGTTCATCTATCCATTATATTTGTTCTTTATATATTTTCGATGTTAACCCCTTATTGGCCATATGATTTGGAAATATCTTCTCCCATTCAGTAGGTTGCATCTTCATATTTTTTATGGTTTCCTTTGCTCTTCAGAGGCTTCTTGGTTTGCTGTATCCCCACTTGTTGAATTGTACTTTTGTTGCCTTTGCTTTAAGTGTCAAATCCAAAAAATCAATGCCAAGACAGATAGTAAGGAGCTTACGGCCTATGTTTTCTTCTAGGAGTTTTGTGGTTTCAGGTTATGTATAAGTCTGTAATCTATTTTGAGTTAACTTTTTTCTATGGTATTAAGAGAGTTATTCTTTTGCATGTAGCTCTCCAGTTTTCCCACCTCCATTTATTGAAGAGACTGTCCTTTTCCTGTTGTAATTCTTTGCTTCTTTGCCATAAATTAACCATACACATGTGGGTTTATTTCTGGGCTTTCTATTCTGTTCCAGTGATCTGTGTCTGTTTTTATGCCAGTATCATACTGTTTTGATTGCCATAGCTTTGTGATATAGTTTGAAAGGGACTGTTATATCTCTACCTTTGTTATTCTTTCTCAAGATTGCTTTGGCTCTTTGGGGCCTTTTGTGGTTCCATACAAATTTTAGGATTGTTTGTTCTATTTATGTGAGAATGGCATTGGGATTTTGATAGAGATTGCATTGAATCTGTAGATTGACTTGCATTGTATGGGCATTTTAACTGTATTCTAATCAATAAACACAGAGTATCTTTCCATTTATCTGTCTTCATTTTCTTTTATCAATGTCTTACAATTTTCAGTATATAGGTCCATCACATTGATATTAAATTTATTCTTAGGTATTTTATTCTTTTTGATGCATTTGTGAGATTGTTTTTTAAATTTCTGATAGTTTGTTAGTGTTTAGAAGTGCAACAGATTCTGTATATTGTTTTTGTATCCACAACTTTGCTGAATTCACTTATTAGTTCTAACAAATTTTGGTGGCGTCTTTATGGTTTTCTAATATGTCAACTGCAAGTAGTGACAGTTTTACACTTCCTTTCCAATTTTAATGCCTCTTCTTTTTCTTGCCTAGTTGCTCTGGCTAGGACTTCTAATATAATGTGGAACAAAAGTGGTGAGAGTGGACATCCTTGTCTTGTTCTTGATCATAGAGGAAAGGCTTTCAGCTTTTCACCATTGAGTACATTAGTTGCGAGCTTGTCTTATATGGCCTTTATTATGTTAAAGTGTCTTCCCTCCACACCTACTTTGAGAGTTTTTATGATTAATGGATATTGAATTTTATCAGATGCTTTCTCTGCATCTATCAAGATGATCATATGATTTTTTATTCTTCATTTTGTTACTGTGTTAATGATTTATGGATGTTGAAACATCCTTGCATCTTCAGTAAATCCCACTTGATCATGGTGTATGATCCTTTTAATGTATTATCAAATTTGGTTTGCTAATATTTTGTTGATGATTTTTACATCTGTGTTCATCAGGGATATTGGTCTGCAATTTTCTCATGGCACTCTTGTCTGGTTTTGATGTTAGGGTAATGCTAGCCTCATAAAATTAGTTTGGACTTGTTCCTTTCTTTTAAATTTTTTGAAAGAGTTTGAGAAGGATAGGTATTAAATCTGATAAGGAAAATATTCAACACAGCCGCCAAGGTCAGCAAACCACTTTTTTCCTCTGGTTGGCAGAGCATTCCCAGCTCCCTCCTCCCCTCCTCCAGGCTCCTCTTTTGCCCTGCACATGCCGAAATGCCACATATCAAAATAATATAAATTGCTGCCATTGCTTGTGCTCAGGGCTCAGACCTTGGTAGATTACTCCCCTCTGAGCCCACTGGTGTAAAATAAAACCTTACCACTCCAAGACCTCCGAGTGCTGCTTGGTTCTTCCATCAGTGATCCAGTCCAGGTTTTCCAGTATTTTTCATAACAAATCTTGTTTGAATGTTTGGTAGAATTCACCAGTGAAGCAGTCTAGTTCCTGGATTTTTGTTTTTGGGGGAAGTTACTTAATTACTGATTCAATCTCTTTACTAGTAATAGGTCTGTCCAGATTTTCTATTTATTCATTAGTCAGTCTTATTAGCTTATTGTTTCTAGAAGTTTATACATTTCTTCTAGGTTGTCCAATTTGTTGGCGCATAACTGTCCATAGTATCTTATGATCCTTCAGATTTCTGTAGTTTCTGGTGTAATAAAACAGTTTTTATTCAATAAAGTATTCTAGATTAAAATGTGTCCTCTTCCTCTATCTTTTACCAAGTTTCTCCAAGAGCTTGCATGGATCTGATCTCATACTCAGTTCTGAATCAGTCTAACTTCTAATAATCTTAGACTTGTAGTTGCAGTGTCCTGATTTATACTTGCCTCAAGAGTCTTAGAGCTGAAACTTCTATACAGTGCTTCTTAAGGTCCCTCACAATCTAGCCACAGTCTGATATATCAACCTCATCACTTGTAATGAGTTGAATGGCAGCTCCCCAATATATCCACCTCTTAACCACCGAATCCTCTTAATGTTATATTATTTGGGAAAAGGACCTTTGCAGATTGAATTAACGATCTTGAGACACAGTCATCATGGATTATCTGGATAGGTGCCAAATTATGTGTATCAGCAGAAACATTGTCAGCTTGTTTCAACATCCTTAGGCAGAGGAGAAGACACAGGCAAGGAGGCAAAGGCCATGTTAACAAATACAGAGACTGGATTGATGTAGCCACAAGCTAAGGAACCTGAAGCTTCCAGAAGCTACTAGAGGCAAGGAAAAATTCTCCCCTACAGCCTTTGGTGGGAACATAACCCTACCAATACCTTGATTTTGGACTTCTGGCCTCCTGAACTATGAAACAATAAGTTTTAAGTCACTGTTTTTGGAAATTTGTTACAGCAGCCTTAGGAAACTAATACAAATTTGGTACCCCTTGAACTGGGATGCTGCTGTAACAAATACCTAAAAATACAGAAATAGCTGTTAAATTGGTTGGAAGCTGAAAGAGTTTTGAGAAACATGCTAGAAAAAGCCTAGATTGCCTTGAGGAAATTAGCAGAAATATAGAATTAAATGTGATTCTGGTAAAGATGTAGAAGAAAGTAGGAAGCACAGTAGAAAAAGCTTCTGTCATCTTAGAGAATACTTAGATCATGAATAGACTGTTGGTAGAAATATGAACATTAAAGGCATTTCTGGCAAGGGCTCAGAAAGAAAGGAGGGATGTGTTATTGAAAATGAAGATGATCCTTTTTATATCATGACAGAAAACTGGCTGAATTTGATTCTACAGTTGTGTGGAAAACAGAACTTGGAAGCAGTGAACTTGATAGTGAGCTAAGGAGATTTCCAAGCAAAGTAGAAAATGTGTCAGTTGGTTTCTCCTTGCTGCTTATAGTAAAATGCAAGATAAATCTTTCCTAGAGAGAAACTGAAGGAAGAACTCTTAAGGAAAAAGGAAGCAGCACTTGATAATTTGGAAGGTTCTCAGCCTATCCAGATTGCAAAGAATGCGAAGATTAGAAAACTCAGTGTTAGGAATGCATGCTCTGGAAACAAAACCTAATGTGTGACAGGATATTTGGCTGTGTAGGTTAGGTATGTGACTCATAGGTCCACTCAACCACCTCAGCAGATGAATAGAAATGGGCTTATACAGGAAGGATCTGCAGAGGTTCCTTGTGAAATAGTATGACCTTGATGGGATGATATATGAGAGACCCACAAGGATTTTGATTATGTTGTATCAGCAGAAACACTTGCCAATTTATATTAAAAGGGACAGAGACAGGATGAAATGAGAGAAGGCTGTCAGACTTCCAAAACTGTATTGTCAGGGACTTGACTGATAGAACTAGGCTACAAACATGTGCTACCCTGCAAGCATATATTACTCAAGAAAAAGGAAGAATAACAATGAGGACAGAGCTGTGGCAGGCAGCACAGAGGGTGGAGCAATAAGCCACAGAGAGTTACACTCAGGGCTTGAAACCTAACAGAATTTGTTCTGCTGCATTTCAAACTGGCTTGGAACTGGTGACTCCTTTATTCTTTCAAATTTCTCGCTTTTGGAACTGGAATGTGTGTCTTTGGAATTTTAGATATCTCTCTCACCATTGCATTTTTGGAAGCAGATAACTTGTTTTCTAGTTGCACAGGTCCGCATATGGAGAATAAGTTTGCCCTGGGATGGACTGTACTCACACTATCACTTATACCTGCTTCAGATGACTTACATGATGAGATTTGAAAATTATGATATTTACATGAGATTTTGGGCTTAAAGATGAGGTTGTAAGGGGTTGAGATGACATTGGGGAATGTTGGATGGGGTAAATGTATTTTGTATGCGGGACAAATGTGGATTTGGGGAAGCCAGAGGGTAGACTGTAGTGGCTTGAATGGTGGCGCCCTAAAAAGATAAATCTCCATCCTAAACTCTGGAATCTGTTGTGTTAACCCTGTCAGTACTTGGAATCCAGACTTTTGGCCTCAATAACTGTCCAGGAATAAATTTCTATTATTTTAAGCCACTGAATTTGTGGTAATATTATTATCATGTAACACGTTCCTTACCTCACCTATACGTATTTGAGGACATACCATATTACTCTCTCTTTGTCTGATCTTTTCCTCCAATAAAATGAATGTCTATTTTGTTCTCAAACCATTTTGTCAGTACTTCTGTAATAATCCTGATTGCAAGGTATCATATATGCTAATCTGCTAAAATGTGAGCTCTAGAGGACAAGAGTATTTCTAACTCTTTTTATTTTGCCAAGACACAGTGCACAAAAGTTAGGTGCTCAGTAAGTATTAGGAATAAGTATTAGTTTAGTACATGTGATCAGTATTTCTTATTTATACTTGTTTTCCCCAAGGCTCAGTACACAGAAGTGGGTGCTCAATAATGTCGGTTAATTGGGAGACCTTCTGTAAGGCATGTATGCTTCAAAGCACCATCAGAATTACCTCCAAAATACATCTGACTTGTGGTAACTGGTCTCTGAATAAACCAGACAGAATGCTCAGTGTTATCTCATACACCTGCATGATCTGTTGTAAACAAGCATAAATTAGTGTGTCCCCTACCTAATGAAATTTATAATTTAGTACTGTTTGCTATGGGTGATTACAGGCTGATGAGGGTAAATATTTAAACCATGTACATTGTAACATATACATCTTATAAACTCCATTTGTTCCACTGATGCTGCTCTTGGTGAAAATATTTTTTGAACCCCACTTGTAATTACTGTCATGCTCTTTAATACATATAAAAACACCCTCTTCAGAGATAACTGTTTCTCCATGGTAGAATTTGGGGGTCGGGGAGGACCATTGTTACTTGAAGCTAAATATTCTATGTAGGACAAGTGAACAAATTGAAAATGCCTGGGGTTTTTTCCCCCCTTTGAAGAACTTTGACCAAAGACGATATCTCTTAGATGGTAAGGAGCTGATATAGATGGGTGCTCAAGGAAATTTCCTCCTCTAAAATTAATGGTGATTCCTGTTAAATTGCTCCTGAACGTAATTCCAGAAGATTCAAAAACGCTTGGAGCAGTGGTATGTTGAGGGAATAAGTGCAAGTGAATATTTTTTAAGGTGGTCACTCTGAAGGATTGTACTTGTATGTATAAATTATGGCATGTAGATGAAGGCTTATTGCGGTTGCACAGTATATGAGAATGTCATAGTTCGGTCAGGTCACTTAGGTATTAAGTGTTGCTCCCTGCTTAAGGTTTTATACCATCCCTGTCCTTTCCAGGCCACATCCTGTTTAGTGTTTCCAGTTGTTTCCTCTGCTTTCAGCTTCTTTTTTTTTTTAATGCCATTGAGTTAGACACCATTAATAGCAAGAGTTGTTTTGAAGTTACTTGTTACTTTAAATTCCTCTGCTTGCTTTGTTTATCTTGATGATTAAATCTGTTTTTCTCACTTCCTTTTCCTCCTTTAGTGACCATCTCAGACTCCAAGGATTAGTTACTATGCATGTACCTTGGATATTCTCAGAACTTCCCAGTTACACTGAGCATTAGTTAAGTTTATCAAGGCTGGAACGAAAGCTAAGATGGGCAGTAACAGAGTCTGTACCAACTGTTTGGGGGCTGTTTTCATTCTAGTTTAAATAATTAAATTTACTTGTTTTAGGTGATTTGCACTTTGTTCTATAGAGGACAGAATAACCTTTTACTTATTTTATTAATTCCAAAAGGTTTTAAATGGAAACCTTTGTGGAAAAATGGAAGTTTCTTTGGGCTTCAAGGCCAAAGGCCTAATGCAATATACCAACTTTACACTAATTTTTTTATTAGGAAATTTTTTTTTTAAAATAATAAGATAGTCTACACAAATATGTGGCTAAATAAAAATAATAGATAATAATGACTTTTAAAGTCCATAAATCCATTTTTGTTTGTGAAAAACAGGCAGTCTATTTTTAAATATTTTTTTACCTTTATATACTGTCTTCATTACTGTTCAATTATACTTGTCAGTGGTATTTCACATCGAGGAACAAAATAAATTACCCATTTTTTAGTTGTAGCTAATAATGAGGAAAAGCCAAAAATAATTTCTCATGGTCTTTTCCAGTCATGATTATATATGTGCTTGTCACTGAGAATGATAGTTCAGGTGAGAATCATCAATTTGCTCTCTCTCTGCATTATAGTAAATGGAAATCAGTAACTTTAATTTTTGGAGGTTTTCATTTTTACCATGTTATAATTTGGTTATAAAGTGTAGTTTATAGTACCTAAACCATTTTTCATTTCCATCTATTAATTGATTGCTTTTATTTTTTTTAACAGTGAATTTATGGCAGAAGAAAGTAATGAAAAATTCTGGCAGTTTTTGGAAACTGTAAAAGAATTAGCAATTTATAAGCAAACAGGTAGGTGATGTGCATATTTTAAGTTAGAAGATTTGTATTTCCTTATGTTTGATATATTTGTTTTTAATGGTAAAGGTGAGCATAAATGCTTAATTGGGTTAGTAAATCTGAATATTAAATTTGAAAAGATGTTTTAATGGAAACTATTTCTTCACCTATTTTCAAAAACATAGGGCTTTAATACTTTATTATAAGAAAACTCATAATTAGCAAAGTTTGTGTATTGAATTATAATCAAGAAGCAAAAGAAACTGTTGAATTATGGTTTTCTTTTTACCTAGATTTCTATGAAATAGTATTAATTTTTCATCTGTTAATATTGATAGATTAAAGATATTGAAATTAGGTTTTAGCAGCAGAGGCTAAAAGGTTGTTAATTATTATAAGGGAAGGTTAGTCATTTTCCTACATCTACAGAGAATAGAATAAATAGTAATAGCATGAAATGCCACACGAAAGAATTCTTTAGCCTTTTAGACATAGAGAAAACATCTTACTTGGTGATTAAATAGTTAATGATTTTATTCCTGAGTGTAAATGTAAGATAAACAGCAGCTTTGAATGCTTTAAATGTTCATTTATTAGACCCTCTTGAGCTCAAGTGGCCTTTAAGCTCAGCAGTTTTTTGATTTCATGAGAAAAGTT